TTTTTTAGAAGTGAAAGAGGTAAAATGAGGCGTATAATTAAAGATATAAACAGCTAAAATCGTAGTCATGATTACCTCAAGAACATGCAAAAATATTGCTGAATCGTGGGGCAACAAATATTCGGGGTATTAAATGTGAGGAGACGTTCATCTAATCAAGCGTTAGAGAATGTTCAGAGGGGTTCAGAAAATTTTCCGCCAAGAAAGAAGTCTTTACCAACTTTTCAATGACACAAAGATGTGCCACCAAAAAACAGGGGGACTATTTGTATAGGGTAAAACTGGTTTATATTACATGATCGAATGATTGTGTAACACGTGGAACCGGAGGCAGACGGAAGATGAATCGAGTAGGAACCGAGACCGGAGACAATAACTGTAGTTGGTGTCGGATAGATCCCGAAGGGATCATAATCAACTGGAGCAAAACGAATGTTTGTCACCAGATGAAATTGAATGAAGAATATTCCCTAATATCAAATAGGCAGCCGTTGCAAAGAATTTTGGCATTCATGGCATGCCGTTACATCTTTATCAATGGCCCCCTTTATTGTCATTTAAGAGAGGTTTGATCCTAGGATCTTGTTTCCTAGATATAGCTATATTACTGACTTCAACAACCATGGTAGGGAACACAATCTCTGGCAAAACTTATGCTATACTCCATTCTCAAGCTAAATAATACAACTTTTTTTTCACGCCTATATTGTTCTTATTTTTGTCCTCGGAATCATCGCTCCCAGAGCCAGACCTGCCAGTTCCTTTGATTTTAAACGCTAAGTCTTATTTCTAGTCTAATTAATTTATCATTTTGAATAAAATCGATCAGTTTTCTTGTCTATAAACTACGTAACAAATTCAACTGTATTGTTTTACGGGTAAACAATCTCCTCCATAGTCATTCCACAAATACACACAAGTTTAGACATTTAGTTTGTGAAACAAAACTCTATTTCCTAGTGAAATAGAGGGGGACTTGCGGCAGTTTCTTGGAGGTGATCTTCATCGAATTTTTCTATGCATAAAGGGTACATAAAATTCTCGCTTTATTTTGTGTCCATCACTGGAATTATATCTTTAATTTCCATTAGTAATATTCAAAGTGCATGTAAGCTAAGTGCTTATATCACGGATATCTGATCGTATCTTCGCATTCGCAGGTAGCTCACAGAAACTGCAATTAAATGCATGAACGAATTTATACACAAACATAAAGCTCCAAGGTCGTTGCTTGCAACACTGTGGTGCCTGTAAGTTCTTTGGAGTACCATATCCAACTTACGGGGATAGCTCAGTTGGGAGAGCGTCAGACTAAAGATCTGAAGGTCACATGTTCATTTCACGCACTGCATTGTTTTCATTTTTTAGGTTTTCTTTTTCTAAATGTTTTTAGGTCCGAACATTCCAACTTTCCAAATATCTTAAATCTACATATTTCGGTAATTCTTGTCTTTTAACTCTTCCGCTCAGGGGCGAAGCTATTTTGGTTGAAGGGTGGTCAACTGATCACCCTTTGCTCGAAAAATTATACTACATATAAAGTAAAATATTACTTGTTATTGATTAAAAACAAACTTTGAACACCCTTGCATAGCCCACTGGCAAAGGGTGTTCAAAATTTGAACACCCTTATTGAATTTCCTGGCTTCGCCACTGCTTCCGCTGTTTACTATGATGTTCCGACTACTTTTTAATAGTAGGGACGGAACCAAGTTAAAATTTCTAAATAAAATTTCCATCAAGTTAAATTTCTAAATGCAAATAAAATTATTGCACATGACCTTTTCATCAAAAGGCCCCAATGAGTGTAAATAAAAATGCATTTATTCTAGAGGTTGTTTGGAGTATATAAGTGAGAACACGAGATTCTCGGATGAGGTTTTTATATTGATGCTATTTACGTATTTGTTCTGGATATATGTTTCTAAGAATGGGTTTTTAATCACTGCGAATAGAAGCCCCTATAGCTCAGTTGTAGAGCGCGACTCTTGTAAACTGGAGGTCTGTAGTTCGATCCTGCATGGAGGCAAATTAAAAAAGACTAGTTTTCTGAGTGTGGTTAATTTTTGGCATATGGAACTTTAAACTCACGAAAAGTTTCTTTCTACTTGGCTCTCTACTAAAGACAAGATGAATAGAATCAATGATAACAACAACAAAGCATTAAGAAAACTAAAACCAAAGAATGCAATCAAATATTATATAGTAACATCCACCCAAGAACAAAAAGATACCATGCTAATACTGTCGATCAGAGAAAACAAACAAAAACGCTAATTGTCCACCCTAATTCTCAATCTTCACATCCTTATATCAAGGATCATATCCTCGGTAAGCTCTAACGGTGTCATGTCCAGCCTGATCACCTCTCCCCTATACTTCTTTTTCCTACCTCTACACCCTTCAAAAACACCAAGATCAACCTCTCACACCTCTTAACTGGGGCATATGTGTTTCTGCTCTTCACATGCCTGGACCATCTCATCCTCGCCTCCCCCATCTTATCCTCCACGTGGGAACTCCAATATTTTCTTGAATAACTTCAATTCTAATCTTAAGTAACCTAATATAACCGCACATTCATCTCAACATGTACATCTTCATTTCAGCTATTTTGGTTAATTTTTTACATATGGAACTTTAAACTCACGAAAAGTTTCTTTCTACTTGGCTCTCTACTAAAGACAAGATGAAAAGAATTAGTGATAATAACACAAAGTATTAAGAAAACTAAAGTCAAAGAATGCAATCACACATTAGATAGTACCATCCACCCAAGAACAAAAAGATACCATGCTAATACTACCGATCTGAGAAAACAAACAGAAACGCTAACCGTCCACCCTAATTCTCAATCTTCACATCCTTCTATCAAGGATCATATCTTCGGTAAGCTCTAACGGTGTCATGTCCAGCCTGATCACCTCTCCCCTATATTTCTTTTGCCTACCTCTACACCCTTCATACCCACCAAGGTCAACCTCTCACACCTCTTAACTGGGGCATCTATGTTTCTGCTATTCACAAAAAGATACCATGCTAATACTACCGATCAGAGAAAACAAACAGAAACGCTAACCGTCCACCCTAATTCTTAATCTTCACATACTTCTATCAAGGATCATATCCTCGGTAAGCTCTAACGGTGTCATGTCCAGCCTGACCACCTCTTTCCTATACTTCTTTTGTCTGCCTCTATACCCTTCGTACCCACCAAGGTCAACCTCTCACACCTCTTAAATGGGGCATCTGTGTTTCTGCTCTTCACATGCCTGGACTATCTCATCCTCGCCTCCCCCATCTTATCCTCCACGTGGGCACTCCAATCTTTTCTCGAATAACTTCATTTCTAATTTTAAGTAACATGATATAACCGCACATTCATCTCAACATGTACATCCTCATTTCAGCTACTTTGGTTAATTATTTGCATATGGAACTTTAAACTCACGAAAAGTTTCTTTCTACTTGGCTCTCTACTAAAGACAAGATGAAAAGAATCAGTGATAACAAGATCAAAGTATTAAGAAAACTAAAGCCAAAGAATGCAATCAAACATTAGATTGTACCATCCACCCAAGAACAAAGAGATACCATGCTAATACTACCGATCAGAGAAAACAAACAGAAATGCTAATTGTCCACCCTAATTCTCAATCTTCACATCCTTCTATCAAGGATCATATCCTCGGTAAGCTCTAACGGTGTCATGTCCAGCCTGATCACATTTCCCCTATACTTTTTTTGCCTACCTCTACACCCTTCATACCCACCAAGGTCAACCTCTCACACCTCTTAACTGGGGTATCTGTGTTTCTGCTCTTCACATGCCTGGACCATCTCATCCTCGCCTCCCCCATCTTATCTTCCACGTGGGCGCTCCAATCTTTTTTCGAATAACTTCATTTCTAATCTTAAGTAACCTGATATAAGCGCACATTCATCTCAACATGTACATCCTTATTTCAGCTACTTTTATCTTCTGAACATGAGAGTTTTTGACTGGCCAACACTTCGCGTATACGACTGCCCTGCTCTATTTGTATAAACTCTTTAAAACACTAGCTTTTTGTCTTTGACCATCGTTTTATCTTTTGAGTACTAATTAGAGTAGGTAAGTACAAGTTTTATATAATAAATAATTTAGTACTTCCTCCGTTCCAATTTATGTGAACCTGTTTGATTGAGCATGAAGTTTAAGAAAAAATGAAGTCTTTTTCGAATTTGTGGTCCTAAACAATTCAGAAAGGGGCTCAGAGTATTTGTGTGGTTATAAAAGCTTTTCATTAAGGTTAGAATTGTAAATTTAGGCTAATTGTTACCAAATTTAGAAAGAAGTCATTCTTTTTGGAACGGACCAAAAAAGAAATATGTTCACATAAACTGGAACAGAGGGAGTATTCATTAACAAACATATTCAAATTTAACACTGTAGCACCTTGTGATTAACCCCAAAAACCAGGAGTATAATACACAAACCTCAAGTTTGGAGGATATATTTTACAACCAACCACGTTTAAGTGCTTCCTTTTATGACATACTATGATAAATAAATTGTCCGTATAAATATTTTACACTATCAGTATAGTTTCCATGAAATAACACATTTACGACTTTTTACCAAGAAACCAATTAAATGCTTAGCATAGATTTTTTCCTATAATTACCTTATAAGTAAATTAATGTGTAAACTCAATGGTTCTCCTTAATAAGCTCCCATTAATAAGTTTATTGTTCAACGCTTCCCTTTTTCCTTTTCTTTCTCTTTACCTGTCAACATGAATGGTTTATCGTTCACATCCCTACATTCTCCATCATGTTCGCTGTCTGTCCATTTCTTCATAACCTATAAAAGCAACCTTTGCACCTCTGGAATTCCGAAGTTGTGCAGTGTTTCTCTTATCACCTAGAGAAAATACTGCAATTCTCAAAGAATAATCAACCTAGATCTCTTTCAAAATCAAAACATTTCATAAATATCTAAAAAAAAAAAAGAAGAAATGGCACGTCAATTGATTGTTCTTGCTCTTTTCTTTGTTGCTTTAGCAGGATTGGTCTCTGCTGCCACGTCACCAGCAAGCTCACCATCATCATCACCATCATCATCCCCATCTTCATCCCCATCATCATCCCCTGCGGCTGCACCTAAGAAAAGTGGAAATGCACCCACACAATCACCCAAGTCATCATCCCCTGCATCTTCACCTAAGGCCAGTTCACCATCATCCTCTACCTCTGAATCTCCAGATTCCTCCAGCTCAGCAGAATCACCTGAGGACGAGGATTATGTCTCATCTCCCCCTTCTCCTTCTACTGACTCTACCACCGCTGACTCAGCTCCCACACCAAGTGCCACATCAGCTGATCAGACACCCACGTCAGCCAGCAGTGCCGCCACCTTGAAGGTTTCCTCAGTCTTCGCTGTTGCAGCTGTTGCTGGATTCTTCTTCTAAGATGTTAAGGGCATACTTCATTTAGTCATCTGAGGGTTCTAATTGGTTGAGTTATTCTTTTGTAATACATTTTCAACAAAATTTCTACAGTCATCAGATGCCTCATATAGATGATGATTTCTGTTTTAATAATTACATACGTGCCATTCGTTCTTCTCTTGAAATTACAAGAATTTTTATTTTTTATGTTTTTGTACATGCGTACTGTTACGTGGCGCCTCCCTGATTTTCTTTGGAAGGGCAATGTAAGGCTAAGTAATCGATGTCAGTGCGGTTGCTGTCCGCCAATGAGGTCCCCTCCGCACGCTAGACTAGATTGTTAGTGCCGTGCGGAAAAACTAATGTCACGAGCAATTGCGGAAGCTGAGAGAGAATTGAGTTTTGAATGATGATGATGATTTTATTGATGAATAAAATGCTGATTACAAAAGATGCGGTGTCGAGGGGGAGAGACACCAGTACAGAAAATTGATTGCTTGAAAATGTTTGATTGCTTGATCCCCACTAATAATACTTAAAAAAAATAAACAAAGTTACATGACTAGTCCTAATAAAGCTGTAGAAGCACACTGAATGAAAATGATGTAAACT